CCCCCCCCCCAACCCTGCAGCTCAGGCTTCTGATTGGTCAGCTGAGCTGTGTTATCTAGCAGCAAACTGAGGTAAATGCTCTGCAGGCCGTCGGTGTTTCTGAGCTGATCGGATTTTGTCATCAGAACCCCCCCTCCTCCAGCCCACTGCATCTTGTCACAACATGCACACTCACACACACACACTCACACACCCACCAGGTCCTACGTCTGTATTTAAACTGACAGCTGCCTTACTCTCCGTGATCTCAGCGACAGACTCCAGTCTCAGCTGTTCTCGTCCAGYTGAACTTTTCCTTCACTTCGTTTCGGAGCCTCGTCTGAATCTCTGCGACGTTGTCAACAGATTAATCCGAGTCCCTCATCTTTGTTACAGGCCTCAACTGTCGACCGGCATAAAAACAAAAAACAGTTTAAGGCCTTATTTTTATTGACGTCAACATGACTGTTGATTCTTGTTGTTTTTATGGTTGTCACTGAGTGATTGAACGCTCCACCTGGCATTATTTTACTCCATGGCTCGGCTAGCTGTGGCTTCTTATCTCGTGTACTCAACATGCTGCCCCTTCAAACTTCATTCCCTGTTTTAGAACCCGGCCCGCCCCCCAACCCAAAAAAAACTGCTTTTAGTTTTTACAAATGTAACATAAACTTTTAATTTGATGCGAACAGAAATGTAACATCTGGAACTGAGCGGAAAGGTTTATTTTTATCTCTCTTTTTTTTTTTTGTCTTGTAATGTTTTTTTTTATCGTTACTTTTTTCCTTTCTTTCTCTTGTAAATTTTTTCTGTATTTTTGGGGGGGTCGGGGGCTGTATTATTTTTAAAAGGAAAAAAAACAATGTGTTGTTTTACTGTGTAAAGATCTATCTTCTCCCTCTTTCAGTCTGTTCTCTCACCTCCTCTCCCCCCTCAGAGCAGTTACACAACGCTCGAATGGAGAGAAGAGAGTTAATACTCTGATGTAACATTGAATTTCTCTGCTTCTGTCATGTTTTTTTTTTCAAAMTTGTAATTAAGTTGTAATCAGGGTTAATTAAAACCAGTTAAAACCCAATATGATTGTCTCTGTTTGTTTGCTTTTCATTCGTACATCCATATTCATCATCAGTCACCAGAGTTTTATTAGGGTATTTGTAAACAAAGTGATTAACCTCTGACTTTTTGTCTCGTCTGAAACGAGCTGGCAGACAAGTGGGAAGTATTTTAGTACTTTAAGATTAGAACAAGTATAAAAAAATTGATATATTACTAGAATGTAGAAACAAAACTGGTTTCTTTAAAAACTGATGAGAGGAAGTGTGAGCTCAACATCAGTAATGATGTAAAAAAAGTTAGTTTGTGATTTAAATTAGACTGAAAAGTTAACCCTTCTATATCATGAGACATCCCACTCAGAGGATGTGTTGTGAATGACTCTCAGCTACTACCACGTTCAATTTTAGCTCCGTGTCTGTAAAAATGGCC